AAAAGCACAACCATCAACAACCATAAACAACCATAAGCACAAAATAGTGCTATTACAAACCAAAAGTCAAGCTCAAGAAGAGTTAATAGTTAATAACTTAATACAATCATCTATTTTGAGAGTCAAATTTTGCCCCCCGATTTCTTATCACAAATTCACCCTAACATCCTCAAATTAACAATCAAAAGTATCAAATCAATATCCAAGTATCAAACAATTGCTAAATCGAATATTTGAATGAAAAATAAATTTCCGCCAAAAAAAAATTTTCCCTCGATTTGATGCAAAAAAAGCCACAAAAGTGGCTGGAAATCATCGTTTAAGGGGTTTAAAGCCCCCCAAACAGTTTCCCCCATTTTTGGATGGTCAAATGGACCATTTTGCCCCTCGCAGAGGGGCAAAATCAAAAAAAAAATTCAGCGGAAGGGGATGCGGTGCGATGCGAGATGTGGCTACAATGCGGCTTGATGAGGCGCATATGTGGCCGCATAGGTCAAAAGCGCATATGCGGTCAGTTCTGATGTGGAGCCGCCCACCGCATACCGCACGATGTGGCTGCATTTTAAAACACTGAAGAGAATATGGTTTTTTGTGGAGATTTGAACCAAGCAAGTAGGAGAGGAGGTAGAGGAGAGAAATACAGGAAAATATGAATTACCCAAGCTAATCAAAACTACTTTTTTGACGGATTACCGAAGCTAATGTGAAAATCTGAACCAAGCAAGTCTTTCTTTTTTCTAATCCTCTTTTTCAAATAAACTATTTTAAGGTTTGCATGAACTAGGGTGATGCTAATGTCAGTGAATCACTCAAGCTAATCAAAATTACAGCAGTCTGGAATGAAGTATACTGATTCCAACAAGAACCCAAACTATCAAATGATTGTGCAGCCACGATCTTATCATGCAGACAGCCAAAAGACACTCTAATATGGATGGATTGTCAGGGAACTTGATGTCAAGCACTCAAAACAATCAGTTAATCCTGAATCTAGATTTACAACATAGAAAAATCACGAAATAAAGCTTTTAAATTGCCTTAGAACTCGATTTACAACAGAGAAAACTATTAAACCAATTTAATACTACATTCAACATAGGAAAGTATAAAAAATAAGTAACTCAGTAGATTTAACCCTAGAAATTTTTGTTTATAGGGTTTCCTCAAAAAAAACCCTGAGAACAATAGTGTCGCCGAAGAAACCCGAAATTAGCAATAAAAAGAAAAGAAAAAAAATGCAAAATCAACAAATAACTCACTGATTGAAGGTAGTTGTTGAGGTAGCAAGGCCGCGAATAGTACTTGGCGAGGTGCCTTTTCTGGGAAGATAGGACGAGAGAAAACTTTCGCAGAGGAGCTGCTGTTTTGTTGGGAAAGAGAGCGAGAGGCGCTGTTGCTCTGTGCCTCGCGAGATGCCTCGCAGCGCTTAAAGTAGACGGAGACTTTGCAGGGAAAATGACCAATTTACTCACTAGAATCCATAGCGCATAATTACAATACTACCCTTCGTAAATTGTGTGGAGAACGCCGGTCCGGTTCCACGTCCACGTCCAGGCTTCCCCTGACATGGTCAAAAAGCCCTACATTAGGCCCGGCCATTGCCGGGCTGAGTCGGGCCTGGCCAAGTAAAAAAATAATTAAAGACAAAAAAAAAAAAGGAACGGCCGAAACCAAGGTGGCCATGACCCCTGCCCAACCATTGTGCACTTGTTACCTGACCTTGGCCTAGCCCTCGGGCTACAAAAGCCACATTTTATGTCCCAGGCCCAGTTTTTTAGGGCTATGTTGACCAAGCCGTGCCTGGCCACCCAACCCTTTGCCACCCTTAGGGCTAGGCTTGTGCTTGGACAATTGTGGGGTGGCACCTCCTCGTATTTTACATTCTGTTCTTCTTCTTCTCCCCCTTTTGAATGTATTAGGCCTAGCCTGGCCCAAACTAGGCTACGGTCCCTTTTGCTAAGGCTCAAGCTAGAACTAGCCCAAGCCTAGCCAGTGGAATCTCATATACGAATGGCCTCACTTCTATGACCATGTCCCATCCGAATGTAAGACAAGTCAGAAGAGGAAGGGCACACCAATGGGCCGGAGACAAGTGAGAAGAGGAAGGGCACACCAATTGGCCAGTCCGGCAAGCCCGGGCCTGGCATGGCCAATCTTGACCCAGCTCTAGCTTGTGAAGTTCTTAGCTAACTTGGTCCAACCCGACCCGTTGCGACGGAGGTATGGGAAAGGTGGGATTTGGTCGAATGCCAAAGAGTGCTTATTTGAGTCCAAGGAAACAACTTGTGGCTTCATGGCTTCCATGTTCGACTATATGGCCTTATGATCAACTGCTTGTGTTTAACTTCTTCAACTTGTTCTCTTTTTTTTCTATGAAGATTCATTTTAGAGACATCGTTGATGGATTGTTGTGCCTTTACAGATTGTGCTTGTGATAGATAATATCAAATAAAAAAAATTCTATTGCGATGAGGTGATTTTTTTTAGGGTCCTCATGGTTATATTTTAGTCTGCTCAAGGATTATCACTATCTGAGTTTGAGCTTACAACTAACTATAACGTTACACATGAACTGAGGATGACAAAAGCTGTATATATATAAACTATATTATGCTGTTGCAGGAGCATTTTGTATATATCTATTTCCTCGGTAAGAAGGTATACTTGGAAGTATTTTTTCGATCTAAAATTATGAAAAACATCTAAAACTCACTAGATTATTATTTTCAAACTATAAAATTTAAATTTTAAGTTTTCTAACAATTAGATCTTAGCCTTAAAAAATTGAATGGCCTCTATTCAATCTTGGGACATTTTTTATTCTGTGGAAATCATAAAAGTCTACACTTATTTTTTGGAACAATATTTTCTTTCCTTTTATGTGTATCCATATTAAAAAAGTGGTTCATTGCATATGTTACTTTCTTTAGTAATACATAAACTTTGTAACCCTTATAAATTGGAGCTCTTGTTCACATCTTCAATAAGTTCTGAAATACATCTTCTATGAGGGCTTAAAGCCCAAATATACAGAAATACAGTTTCTCACATAGCATCAAAGCGAGGTTCTATCTCGAACAATTTTTTGTGACTCCATCGTAATCAATTTTCAGGAATTACAATATAGCACAAATCTGGTTACTCAAGATAAGTACTTGTTTTCTTTCCAACATGGCATTCTTTGAAAATTTTTCATCTATGGTATATTTAGTTTCGACAGTATTTTCAGTTTTGGATTTCTTCTTGCTCATTCTTTCTTGGTTTATCTCTCCCTAAAAATAGTCTATTGTTAATTCCTTTTTGATCTGTTGAGTCGTGCTTTGATTATTTGATCTATCTCTCTGCTAAGTCATGTTTTGATTCTCTGATCTATTTTGGATCTTATTGTTCTCAACTTCGAATCTACGGTCCAACTATGCTTGTTGATCCACTGCTTATTTCTGTTGGCTTTTCCAAGTGCCTCTTGTTTAATGATCGAATTTCTCGATCATGGTTGATGATCAAGTTTTTTGTTACTCAACCATGTTTAATGATTGTATTTTCTGTTACTCAATCCTATTGGATAATGGAGTTTTCATTTACTCCATCCTATGTGATGATCGAGTTTTTTTTCGTTACTCGAGTTTGTCTGTTTCATAGGCTTGTTGATTTGTTGCTATGCGTGACAGCTATGTTCGAGGCGTCGGTTTCTGATGATCGTTAATTTGCAGTTGCTCAAGCCTCTTCTGTTTCTGCTTTGTTTCCAAGGCCAGTTGTCCAAACTTAAGTTGTTATATCATAACTCATCTTGAGTTTGAGGGAGAATGTGGAAAGTTGTCCAAACTTAAGTTGTTATATCTTAACGCATCTTGAATTTGAAAGGGAATGTGGAAATTATAGAAACCTGCACTTATTTTTTGGGAACATTATTATTATTTTTTTATATGTTCCATATTAAGAAGGTGGTTCATTGCATATGTTACTTTCTTTAATAGTACATCGCTTTGTAACCCTATAAATGGGGCTCTTGTTCACATCTTCAATAAGTTTTGAAATACATCTTCCATGGAGCCTTAAGGCTTAAATATACAGACATACAGTTCTAACATCCTTCAGGTGCATAAAGAGTAATATGAAAATTTCTTAGTCTATAGGCTGAAGAGGTTATGTCCCCGAACATTAAGGTCTTGAAATTACTTCTAGATTAGGTTTAACTTGTTGGAGTAATATGCTCCCGCATCAAGAAAAAATATTTTGATGCAATAATAATGAAAAGTATACAATGAGATCATTTATCTTTGGTACAAGGTAGTCACAATTAATCTTGACCATTGAATATAAAATTAGGTGGTTGCATTTATTTCATTGACCAAATTCAAAGTTTAAAAAATAATTCTTTCAAACTTTGTGACACACTCAATGTAGCAGCTTTCACATCAAATGGTCACTACCCAAATAAGGGTATGGTTTGTATAAGGCCAAAGCCCTAAACAATCAAAGCAAGGCACACCTTCAAAGCGTGTCGAAATATGTTGTTTTAATATAAAAAATCTTTATCATGGTTTGAAATTTATTTTTATTTTTTATTATAAAATTTAAAGTTAAAAAATAGTGTAAATCAAGGAGATCTATGAACATTTGAAAATCTTAAAAATTAGCACTTCGAAAATGCATTATAAGATGCACTATTTTCAAGACTTGAAATCTATTTTTCCACCTTTTCATGCATTGTGAGATCGAGATGTTTAATATAAGAATTTTTTAGCATCGAAACAGCCTTTTCTAGTGAGATTTTTTAGGTCCGCCATAATTTGATTGTTCAGGGCCTCGCCCTTGTATGAACTTTTTCAATGTGAAAAGAGGCATGCCTTGAGATTGAGGACAACGATCCTAAATAAGCTGACAACAATGCGGGCCTGCCTGTGCGAGCCATGCGCGCCCCCCTCGCACCAGGACTCGCGTTCATGGCTCGCCTTTCTCGACCGCTGCACCACCCTGTCTCTCCCCCACTACAAGCAAGTCCACGCCCTGATGCTCCGCTCCCACGCCCTCGCCCGTTCCTCCCTCTTGGACCGCGCCATCAGCACCTGCGCGCCCCTCGACCCCGCCTATGCTGCGCGCCTCCTCCTCAACCTCCCCCCACCCGAAAACCCGAACTCTTTCGCCTTCAACGCTCTCATACGCGCCCATGCTGCCGCGCCATGCCCCCACACCAAGCACCAAGCCATTGTCCTGTTTCGTCTCATGCTCCTGCGCTCGAACCCCATGCCTGATAAATTTTCGTTTCCCTTTGTTCTCAAGGCCTGTGCTTTTCTCTTTGCCCTCTTTGAGGGTAAGCAAATCCATGGATTGGTGTTTAAGCTTGGGTTGGCAATGGACCCATACGTTAACAATGGGCTAGTGCACATGTATGCAAGCTGTGGGGTGGCAAATCTAGCGCGCCAATTGTTTGATGAAATGACTGAGAAAAATGTGGTATCATGGAATTCTATGATATATGGGTATGTTCAGTTGGGGTTCTTTGAGGAAGCGTTGGGATTGTTTAGTGAGATGAATAGGCTTGGTGATGTAGCTCCCGATGCTTATACGGTGCATAGTGTGGTCTGTGCTTGTGCAGGTTTGGGTGCGTTTGCGTTGGGTGTGTGGGCGCATAGGCTCGCAACGAGACTCTCGTTAGACAATGAGCAAAGTCTTTTGATGTGTAATGCACTTATTGACATGTACGCAAAATGTGGGTGCGTAACCATTGCTCGACAGGTTTTCGATAAAATGGGTAGTAGGGATGTTTCTTCATGGAACACGATTATTCAAGGGCTCTCTGTTAATGGTTCGGGCCACGAGGCTTTGGACATGTTCTCTCGCATGCTCAAGGATGGCTTCAAGCCAAATGCCATTACTTTTGTTGGCTTGTTGAGTGCATGCGCGCATAGTGGCCTTGTAAACCAAGGCTTAAGCACATTCAATTCAATGAGGAGTCGGTATGGAATTGAACCTGCAATTGAGCACTACGGGTGCATGGTTGACCTATTGGGCCGAAATAGTAGGCTAGATGAGGCCTATGAGCTCATAACCACTATGCCATTAACGCCAGATGCTATCATTTGGAGGACTCTACTGGATTCCTGTACTAGGAGTCCTGGCAAGTTGGACCTCAGTAAGGTGGCTGCAAGCCACTTATTAGAGCTCGACTCTGATACTAGTGGTGCATATGTGTTACTATCGAAAGCATATGCACGAGCCAATCGATGGAACAATGCAGGGGAAGTTAGGAAGGAGATGAGTCTGAACAATGTAGCAAAGCCACCAGGGTGCAGTTACTTAGAATTGGATGGAGTGGTGCATGAATTTTTAGCAGGGGATACGTCACACTCTCGATCGAGAGACATATATTCGATGTTGGATGAAGTAGAGGGCCGTTTGAGATCAAATGGTTATGTGCCAGATGCTTCAAAGGCAGATGTAGCAGAGCCTGATGGGGGGAAAGAGCAGTCTCTTCTACTTCACAGTGACAGAGTAGCAATTGCGTTTGGGCTTATCAGCACGACCCCGGGCACCACCATCAGGCTCATGAAGAACCTAAGAGTGTGTAGCGATTGCCATCATGTTATAAAGCTTGTATCTCTTATATATGAGAGGGAGGTCATCATGCGAGATCGGGCCCGTTTCCACCATTTTAGACAAGGCTCCTGTTCTTGCATGGATTACTGGTAGTCTCATGATGGTCTCTACTTGTATATGTATGTACGTATCAATTTAAAAAAGCAAAAGAAAGTTAAGTAAGCATGTTGGTGTTTTTGGATAAAGAAAGACATGATAATACAAATAAAATTAACCAAGTCTAGAGAATTCCTAATTGTGATATGTATTACTTGATTTTTCTTGAAAAATAAAGTAGAATACAAAAATTAGAAAAATTACATTTACAAGAAGGGTCTTTTTATTCAGAAATGTACATAAGGAGACTATTTATGGTTTATACAAAACTACAAGTATTTATGGTTTATACAAAACTACAATCATTATTGACTGTTAGATTTGAATCCGGTGGTTGATGACGTATCATTGTTTAGGTACAAAGTCCAAAACAAAATTTTTTAAATGTTGTGACACTTTTATCTATTAAAATTCACATTTAATGGTTAAAAATGATTGTGACATTCTTGTACCAAAAATAAAATCTCATGATATACAATCTTTGTTTATTAAGACTTATCGCGAGTGTTACCAGGCTTGCATTTATTAATGCATATTTATTCTTTGGTCCTCCCCGTCATATTGAAGTTGCATGTCCGTCTTTTAATTCAATGAATATCACATGGTCTTCGGTCCATAAAACCGCTTCAACATCCCCATCACATTCACGACCATATGAGAAAGCTAAAAGAAATCATTTCATTAAGAAAAAATTTGTATATGGCGCCAAGTTTATATACTTAATCCACTTTAAAAAATTAGAGCCACATGTAATACTAAATTTTGCACACGTATAGATCTCAAGCAGATGATCAAAAAAGAAAAGAGAAAAAAAAAAAACAGAAATTAGATATAATGAGTTTGGCATTGCCATTTTTTGTGGGTGCAAGTGTTTATCTGGTAACATTGTATGCAAGCAGCGTTCATAAACTCAAAATGAGATTTTTTTCAAATATTTTTAATTTTTTGAAATCAAAGATGTTATGCAGAGTTTGCTCAAAATTAAATTCCTCTAGCCACGTTTTTTGTAACTTGTTTATATTGTAGCCATAAGCACTGGTCTGAAGAAGTTATTCAATGAGAGACCCCTAGTGGTTTTTGAAGTTGTCAATACGAATGAAAGTCATGCCAGTCACAAGGTGTAAGTAAAGTGTAGGGTGTAATTAAAGTATAGGGGGTGCTACCACCATGACCCCAACTCCTTTCCCACACCAACCCTTCCTAAAATATTAATTTTTTATTTAATTCATTTGACAAACCATGCCAAATAATAACACCATGTCAAATGTATATTATTGCGAGGGACCTTTGACTGAAATTGTCGTGATGCAGAACAAAACTCAATACCAAAAAATTGCACTTATAAATGGAAAAATGATTACAAAATTCCCTTCTTCACTATACAATGAATACTATGTGCATCTTCTTCATCCCCTTCCAAATGGATGGCTGAGTCTAACCTTGCAATATGTTGATTGAGACATCTGGAATATCTTTGCATCTCTGTACAATCAGATGGATGGATGGAATATGTCCCTTGCATTCAATGATATTGAAATGGACGAGAGGATATGAGATAGCCATGAAGAACCTGAACCCGAACCCTAACCCTTTCAGAAAATATCAAAACATGAGCGGATAGGTCACTGGAGATTAGGAATTCATTCCTTCTCATTGTAGCAAAAAAATGATGTATGTATAGATTATAGCTGTATAGCTAGACGACCATCATGTAATCACGATGATATGATGATGCTGATGATGATGGTCATGATGATGTACGATGATGCATGTCATGGTGGAGGATAAATGCATAGAGGAGGTGGTTCCAAGAGTCAGGGACACCAGGAAGGCACCAATGACTGCAGTCTTGGCGATGGAGGGGAGCAGGTCCTGCTCCACCACCCAAGTAGTAGATGGAGGAGTGGCCATCCTTGCGAATATTAGTCAGGTGGCTCACATTCATTACCTCAACGACTCCTTGCCGACGTGCTGCTGCATCTGCAACCATGCTCACAAACTCACCCCATGGTTCTCGTGAAACTGAGGATATAAGCCCAAGTTCCGGTAATGTCTCCAAGTGACAATTCCCACCTGATCTCCAGTCCCCACCCCTGTAGTAAATGGCGACAGGATTCCTTGCTATTATTTTCCATAGAGAGACGGTTTCAAAGTTCCAGAAGTTTTGGGTAAAATTTGTGGAGCCTTGGCACCTTTTGTAACAAAAAGAAATTTGAAAGTTGGCCCAAGTCTTCTTAGGAAATAAAAAGAAATTTGTCAGAAGAAACATGAGAAAACCGAAGTCTCTAGACATACAAGAAAGCAATTCACAAACTTCTGTACCACCAATGCTCCTCATGTCCTTAAATGACCACTATGCTCCGCACCTTATTATTATAAGGAAAACATTGTGCATCGACTTAAAATAGTTTGATTTGTTGAAGTATTGCACTTTAAACTACAGTTATGACTTATGAGATATTAACTTACTGATGTTTTCAGTGTAATTCGGGCACAACTGCAGATCAGGGGCAGGGAATTGCATATGGAGTTCAGTACAACAGAGTCCAGCTCATAACTTGACTTTAAAGGGATGTTAATTGTTCATTCAAAAGCTGAAGTCCATGGAATTGAACTATTGATCAATGTTGTCATAGTCGCTTTGGGGGTCTTCTTTGGTTTGGTGAGAAAAATGAAGCAATTTGGTGCTTCGACCGATTCGGGGGAAGACTTCGGATTCTTTGTTAATTTAATATAAATAAATTAGATATTTTTATATAAAAATAATGAAAAAATAAAAATAAAAAATTCAAAAAAAAATAAAAAATTACTTTTATACAGTATTTCTTTGCTTGGGTATGGAAGAGGCTGAAGCTTGGGCCGCAATCTGCCAGAAGCAGACTTGAATCTAAACGAAGACGCCCGAATCTGACCGAAGTGGTAGCACCAATATATAAAAATAATGAAAAAATTCAAAAAAAATTCAAAAAAATAAAACCGAAGAGGCCGAAGCTTCGGTCGAATCTGCTCGAAGCAGACCCGAATTTGACCTACGCGGCAGCACCAGGCTTCACTTTGCTTCGGTCTAGGCCTAAACCCGAATGCTTCGGCTCTTTGGCCGAAGCAAAGCGAATTTGACAGCACTGCTATAGATAACACAAGCAGAAGAAAAGCAGCATGAAAGACGATGGCCGATTCATGTCACTACCTGAAATGAACGGGAGCATAGGACCGGAAATAGACTTGGGTCTTGGTAATGTTAACCTCATTCTTAACCCAGTCCATCACTGTCCTTATTGACTTCCTATATGCTCTCAACACATTCATCTTCTGTTTTACCTCTTCTCCCACTTGAAAATAGCACCCCCTGTAAATTCACAGGAAATTTTCGGAAAATCAGGAAAGCAGTACACAAATGGGAAATCACAGAAACAATATTCATATCAAATCCGTATCTAATTCAGTAACAATTACTTTGCTATTTGATCAGTGTTTAATTTAGATTTTGAGCTCATGCAACAATGCTTCTCATAGGGTTTTGTCGTCCACAAAAACCAGATCAAGGAAGTGAGAATTTTCCATCATTTCTCCAACTGTTTAAATTCAAATACCATTTAAAAAAGAATTAGCATCATTAATTCGCACAGAAGAGAAATCAGCATCAACTTCAGTTTCAGAAAGAATCATAAATTCCCACACGAGTAATGTTTATTCAAACTTCACAGTAAAGCAAATAATAAAATTGCCAGGAATGGGTGGAATGGTGGATGATCAAAATGCTCCAAACTGGAAAGTGTCTTTCAATCCGTGCCACGCATTCAAGTCAATGATTAGAATGGTGGGCCTCTCCACGGACTTCTGTATTCGCTTTATTTCACTCCATACAACAGTTAACAGCATAAAAAAAAATGACTAGAAGGACAAAGAAACAGCAGTGACTAGGGTTTCAAACCAATTGCCATCCTTTTTCGGAGACAACGACCAAACTTAAAAATTCGAGTATTCTTTCTTAATGTGGGCAAGCTAGGATTATGAATCAAGAAAACAGTGACATGTTGCTCATGCCCAAGTTCCTAACCACTAAGCCACACGGCTGACCACAGCATTAGGGCTGGTTATCAAATGAAACAATGAACATGGCTTCTAGAGCCAATGTCAGCACATATTAATAGTTAACCAGCTGCAGGAAAGACTTGAAATCAAGCAAAGATGATGCTAGCCAAGGGATATATTCCTCAAATTTCTCAGGAAAGAAAAGGTGGACAATGAAAAGATGAGAGGTCAAATGAAAAAATGAACATGTGCTCATGCCCAAATTCCTAACCACTAAGCCACAAGGCTGACCACAACATTAGGGCTGCTTATCAAATGAAACAATGAACATGGCCTCTAGAGCCAATGTCAGCACCTATTAATAGTAACCAGCTGCAGGAAAGACTTGTAATCAAGCAAAGATGATGCTAGCCAAGGGATACATTCCTCAAATTTCTCGGGAAGATGAGGTGGACAATGAAAAGATGAGAGGTCAAATGAAAAAATTCCGATTCTTGATAAAAAATTTTCTAGTTGAAAAAATAATCTTGGCAGTTTAACACTAGTGTTATCAGTCCCCCCCACCCCTTAAGAAATGTAATAGAGAAGAAAATGAGCTCAAAAGAAAGGTAGAGTAATCTAAGAAATTATGGTAAAAGCAAAAGAGAAAACAATGAAAACAAAGAGAAAAGAACACCCACTGGCGAACTGTCTTCTCGTAGTTCCACCAGTGGCCAGTGTTGAAGACAAGCACATCTGCATCCTTCCACCTAACACTGTTCCAATCCATCTGGTCCAGCTTCAAGGTAGTCTTTATGTGGGGTGGGGATTCCTTAGGTGGTCTGCTTTGCAACACCAAGAAGGGAGCTCTATAATACTCAACCGTGCAGTTGTATTCCTTAAACTTGAAGATCAAGAAACCTGTGTGCTTTGTGATCGGGCTCCCATTAACCTCATATATGGAGTCCTTGTCGGGAACTGCCTGGGCAAGCATACACAGAAGGGATTCCCATTGGTTTCTCCCAATCGAATCCCCAATGAAAACTAGCCGCTTGCCTCTTAGCTTCTCCAGCATCAACTTGGGGTCAAATCTAATAAGGAAAAGAGAAAGAAAATGATATAAGCAAAAAACAAAAGTCCCCATTGATGTTTTCTGTTTATATAGTGTTTCCCATTTATGGTTATGAAATTGACAAAACGTATGTAAGGAGAGAGGATTTGTGTCTTTTCATCTTTTCATCAATTGCACAAATTATCTGTTATGTGTGAATTATAGTGGTTTTCAAGGTGATGGGTTCACAAAAGACACTCATCAATTCTATACTCAGGGAAATAGGTGAATAAATGTTCATTACTAGCCAAAAAAATGCAAAATGAAACAGAAATAAGAAAACCACGAATACGCAGGTTTTTTATAGGTACAAGGAAACCTGTAAGCAAGATTGCAACGCACTAGCGATATTGCAACACGTTAAATTTTTTAAGGATAATAAAGGAACCAGATTTTCCATTCAATAAACTGATCCAGATACAATCTAGATTTTCCACTCTATAAACTGATCCAGATATAACCTAAGCTAAAAACACCAACTGTGTTTCATAGTTAATTACATGTGGATAGACGCCAACTGTGTTTCATAGAAAATTAAAATATGGAATATATTCATAATATTGCTATGCATGAATTTTGGTACGAAGACAACACTCCAGGTAGTTTCAATTGTTCTATACTCTATTAAAAAATGTATAAGAAATAAATATATTATAGATAATTGTGTAAAAAATTGATGCAAAAAACAAGAAAGACTGACAAAAATCCATGAATTTAGAAATACTTCTTCTTCTTACCATTGCAGTGATATCAATACTTAATTCTATCCTACCATTTATAAGAAGCAAATGAATTATATATATCAGGACTTATTAGAGATAATAATGATTCAATAACAAGAAAAGGCTAACGAAAATGCCCGAATTTAGAAACAGAAATTTTTATTGCCATTGCAGAGATATCAATACACATGAATCTCAATTGTGCAGATACTAACAAAGAAATGGGAAAAAAGAAGAAGATGATGTTGTATTGTTTGAATACAGTTTTTTGTCAAAAAAAACAAAAAACACATAAGAAAGGGATAAATCCTTGCTCCCAAGTAAGCCAAAAAAGTAATGCAGAAAATCAAGGCATTAGCTTTTTATTCCTTTAGCTTAATTAATATGCAGTTCATAGGCATCAATAGAAAATTCAGATATTTAAAATCAATGAACAAATTTACAAGAACCAGAATAGCACTCGTTTTTTTGTAATTAAAAGAAAGACCGAATTTTTTATACAATTCAACAAATAAATTCAAAAAGAATTATACAGTTTTTTTTTGATAAATTATATCCGATGTAGTTAGTCCTATATTCCAGGCCCATCTCTCCTGACTATAGACAAGCAGGACAAGTGGAAAGAAAGTGGGTGCGTGCATGCACCGAAGGGGGGGGGAGGTCAACGCGGGGTGTGGAGAAAGAGAGAGGGAAGAGAGAGAAAAGTGAGTCAGTTGGTAGAGAGGGAAAGAGGTGAATGTGGGGTGTGAGGAGAGAGAGAGAGAGAGAGAGAGAGAGAGAGAGAGAGAGAGAGAGAGAGAGAGAGAGAGAGAGAGAGAGAGAGTAGAGTAGTAGTAGTAGTACGTACGTACGTACGTACGTACGTACGTACGTACGTACGTACGTACGTACGTACGTACGTACGTACGTACGTA